AAAAAAGAATTAAAAAAGAAATGAAAAATAATAAGACAAATAAAGAATAAAAGTACAAAAGAGGGTAGATACTATTTTCCCCTACAGCTGAACTTTGTAGCTCTCCATGATCAGTAAACTTTGTGTGAGGGAGTTGTTTTCTGCTGGTCCTCTGGGAGAGAGTGGCCTGTTGCCCTGATTCTCAGGTGGATTTGCCCTAGTGGAACTGTGCCTCCAGTGTGCCAGGAGACAGGGCTTGGTGTAAGCAGCTCTGGTCTGCACTAGGTGGTGCTATTTTGCTCCCTGAAGGTTTTCAGCACTGATGGGCACCATGGCAGTGCCCCACTCTCTAGCCCCAGAGCTGAAAGTTCATGCCCCCCACCTTCAGTAAGCCCTCACAGAAGAGCAAGCAATCACATTTATGTCCCCAGCTTCTGTCAGAACCCTGTGTTCATCCTGCCTGTGTCTGAGCTTTTTTACCTCAGGCTTGTGACTGAGTTTCAAAACTCCAAATTTCAGGGACTCCCATGGTGTGGATTTTTGCTGTTCCTCTGGGGAGGTGGGGAGTCATGCTTTCCAATTTTCATTATTGTTAAGAGCACAATTATTTTTTTCCAACAAACTTACTGAGCTCCCAAATGCAAGCACCTCTTAGATACATTGGGAACCCAAATAGGCAGTTACAACTGTTTAGATTTAGAATTTAGCTGGGCTTTGAGGAGAATATGCTGTCTAAGAAAATGTGAGCTGTAGATGCCTTTCAGGTAGAGCTGAAATTCCCAGATCTGAGCTTTCGTCTACCCCTGTCCATGGGCATGTCTCTTATTATGGGGACATATCTTGGTTAGGAATCATGAGATTACCTAAACAGCAAGTACTGAGAGGCAAGCCACAGATCACACTGCCCAAAACCAGCCTCTTCAGGGTTGAAACTCTGTTTCTCAAAGTCGTCCAAACCTGGCAGTGAGTTGTTCTCATCCCCAGTATGGAGCAGCCCCACTTCCACATCTCCTAGTAGAAAAACTAGAAGGAGATGCAGGGAGATCATTCTATTACCCTGCTTTTAGTAGTTGTAGGGAAACCAGGAGAGGAATAGAGATCCATATTTCAAAGGAAGAAGTAAAAACAAAAATTTAGAGCAGACTTGCTCATTGAATTACACACTCTTTTTCAATAAATTTCATTAGTTCTTAACTTATTTTAATTAAATCCTGATATACTTTATATTATTCTTATTGGAATTTTTCTCTGAGGCTATTTAGCAATACTGTATGTATCTTTTTATGTAAGGGTTGAAGTAATGTTTAGCTATATTGTTTGTTGTTATTACTGAGCATAGTGCCATGGCAGAATAAATATTTGTTAAATGAATGAATCGATTTTGGGTGCCTGAGACTTGATCCATACAGAAATTTTCATTGTCATCATGTGTGCTTATGAAGTGCATGGAAAATTTCAACTTAAACATGAGTCTAGAGCAGTACTGTCCAATAGATGATGGAAATGTGTGTTTATCTAGATACACACACACATATATATACATACACACACTTAGTATATGTTATATATATGTTATATATCAATGATACATAGGTCAGATAACTAAAACAGAATTTTAATTTCCACATGTGATTAGTGGCTATCATGTTGAACAGTACTTTTCTAGAGGAACAAGATCATAACAAAAGTAGACAATGTAAATACTAAATACTTGTTAAACTTTATGTGCAGACTGGGTTAGCAAAGTAGCCCTCTCCAAAATTCTTCTAAGAGTTAAATTACAAAATCAACACATTGTAGATGAGCTGAGATATAGGCTAAAAGCACAATTCTTCCTGGGACAGAAACTGGAGGAACAAGCTGACAACTACCATTAATGGAATTAATGCCTATCAATAAGGTAATGGGTTAGTCAATATTATCTATTATTATTATTATTATAAAGGTTTGCTAAGGGACAAGTACTGTGTTAAGTGTTTTATATGTATTCTCTCATTTAAGCCTCATAACAACTCTATGAGTTGAATGTTATTATTATTCACATTTTTATTTATTTATTTTTTAAAAGATTTTATTTATTTATTTGACAGAGAGAGAGAGAACAAGTAGGCAGAGAGGCAGGCAGAGGGAGAGGGAGAAGCAGGCTTCCCGCTGAGCAGGGAGCCTGATGCGGGGCTCAATCCCAGGACCCTGGGATCATGACCTGAGCTGAAGGCAGCCGCCTAACCAACTGAGCCACCCAGGTGCCCCTATTATTCACATTTTTAAAATGTGGAAACAGGAATAGAGATTAGGTAACTTGCCCAAGGTCACACAACCAGTAAGTTGCAGGGTAGGGAGTTAAAGGCAGCTCCTTTGGATTCCAGCATCTCTGTTTTTAACTATTTGTTCTACTGAGCAGAAGTCAGCATGTGAGGCCATGTACATTTAGCACTATCTAGTGTGGTGTCCACCCAATACCCTGTGATTCTGCTGGCAATGCAGGTCTTTAATTGGGAAAAGTGTTACAAATGATTTCAAAGGAAGGGCATCACCTAGAAGACCTAATGCCTCTCGTTTTGATTCTATCCAAAATGTATTTATTGAGCAGCTTCTTGGGATGCCAGGTACATAGCACCTTACCTCACACAAAGTTGAGCAAGGCACAGTTTTTTCTGCCCTTGAGGAGCTAAGCAAAATTCAGATTATAATTTGACTTCCACTGTAGATATACCTAAGGGGGAAAGTATTTGTTACCACAACACCAACATTCCAGGCCACATTATGATTTTGTTTTTATTCTCAATAAAATTGTCATGTGGCTTTACACTTCCATCCTCTGTGAGATTCAGTCAGTGTGAATGAGCTTCTGTGAATCTTATTAGCCTGAAGATATTGACAAATTCAAAAGCTAACAAAGGGTAAATTAGTGAGGAAGTGCTACCCAAAGGGACCCCCTGTGTAGGGCTGCCAGATAAAATATAGGATACTCAGTTACATTTGATTTTCAGATAAACAATGAATACTTTTCATAGCATAAGCATGACTCAAATATTACATGAGATATACCCTAAAAAAACCACTGTTGTTAATCTGCAATTCAAATGTAGGTGGGCATCTTATATTTTATCCAGCAACTGTACTCTAGGGAGATTGCCAGTTAAGAATTCCATGGATATATTCTTCCAAGCCATAAAGGCCCCTCACAAATTTTAGTGGTGTGGCCAGAATTCTGTTGTAACTTAAGACAGAACTAAGTCTAGTCAGGGAAGGTTGCCTGGAAAAGAAGGGGCAGATTGTCCTTAAAGCGAGGGAAGGCAACTGAATTGACAGAGGAAGCCATTTCAGAAGGGTGAGCCCAAGGCATGTACTTCAGGCAGGGTCTATGCAGTGGGTCAGTAGGAAGGCCCCTTACACAGATAAGAGAGTGCTGGGGTTTCCCATTCACTTCTATAAGCAAGTCCTCTGGCCAGCTCAGTAGCACCATCCAGGGCACATTTCATAATACAGTGGTCAAAGCCACTTCTTTATGAGGACAGATGCAAGGGACAATGGACAGCACTGCATCAAGTACAATAACGGCAGGAAACAGCCAGTTGCCCTTTGTGCGTACAAAAGTCTTCTGTAGCCATGTGAGTTAACTCTAAAGTAACTCTAAAGTAATGGTTCTCAAACTTTGTGGGCATCAGCATCATCTGGAGGGCTTGATAAAGCACAGATGGCTGGGCCTCATCCCCAGTTCTGACTCAGTGGGTCCAAGGTAGGATGGAGAATTTGTGTTTCTAACAAATACTCAGGAGATGCTGCTGGTGCTGCTTCAGGGCCACACGTTGAGAACTGCTCTAAAGCAGTGCTTCTCAAGCTTTTCTGTGCACCTGGGGACATAACTTAAATGCAGACTCCTTCTAACTCACCAGGTCTGGGAAGGGGCCTAAGATTCTACTTCTCCTACAAGGTCCAAGGAGATGTTACTAAGTTGTCAAGCTCCAAGGAAGTGGTTCTCAAGCCTGGGTGCATGACAGATTCACCCAGGGAACTTCTAAAATTTCCACATTCCAGATCAATTCATTCAGCGTTTTGTGGGTGGCATCCAGGCCTGTGGAGCTAAAAGGACTATTTTTACTGTCAGCTTCTCCCAGATGATACACATACATTCCTAACTCCTGTGATGGAGTCATTGCTCCTCAAAACTGAGGCTGACAAGAAAGGTAGTGTTAGCTCTGACTTCTGTAGATCAAGAAAGAAGCTGCTGAGGTATTAAAATGCTGAAGATCTGAAGAGATGGAACTCGATGCAGGCTTTTTCTCATCTGTAAAATGGGGCAAATAATTATCATGGAATTTCATAAAGATTGAATGAGATGATCCATGCCAAGTAGCCAGCACAGTGCCAGGCACCTAAGTGCTCAATAGATATTTTAAATAATAGTATCATCTATCAGTGTTACTACAATCCAACTACCCACCTGAGGTTTCTCTTATTTTTCTCAATATTGCAACCTGCCAGACCACATCTCAACTACTCTATTGGCAAGGGATTTGTCTGTTGTGGCCAGCCTTGTGTGGAAAGCTCTCCCCTCTGTTAAGTTCTTGTAGGGTCCAAAAGTCAATCCTAGTTAAACCCCTTAGATTGCTACAGCACAGTTCTCATTTCCCTTCTACCTAAGACTCATTTGAACTTTTAAAACCAGTATTCCTTAGTTCTGTCATGGGTTAACCATTCCCAGTTCATATATTTCCTACACTTCTCATTACATTATTCATGTTTTTTTGCCATCCTGACTGATAATTTTGCATACCCTCTGGTCTGTTTACATCTCAAGTCGCAAGACAATTTATCTGGGTGTAGTCTCATTAGTGTAGGGCAGTGTGACTCACTTTCATACTTACATGACACAGAGTATGCCTGAGATGGTACCAGTGTTTTTGGTGGCTACATCACTCTGTTCACGTTAATTGAGCTTGCTGTGGATTACAGTTGGAGGCTTTCTTTCCTATGTGCTTGCTATCCTATGCAACACAAGGTCCTAGCTTGACCTTGTAAAACTTTTTTTTTTTTTTTTAATAACCAAAGTGTAAAATCTTACACTTCAACACTTCACATTGTTAATTTGTCCCATTTCCCTGCCTGGTGAGATTTTTTTTTCAAATTTTGATCCTGTCCTTTAGTAAAATCATTCTTTCCCAGCTTTATGACATGTACATTTTTAATAAACACATTTTTTGTAGTTTTAGTCAAGTTATTAATTGAAATGTTGGACAGATGGAGCCAAAAGGCAAGCTTTGCAGCTGGACACTAAACATGCTCTTCCAGGTTGATAGGTATCCTTTAATTAGCACCAATCAAGTGATTACACACCTACTAATTGTATAACGTTGATATTTCACCATTTTGCCCAAATGTATATAAGACCACATTAAATTCTTTTTTAGGGCTCAGATATTTTTCTAATCTACTTAATCTTACAAAATAGGAAATACATGTAGTCTGAAATAGTTTGTTCTTGAGAATCCATGCTGGCTTGTAATATTTGTTGCATTCTTATCATTCACTCTGTAACTATGCCTAGAATTAATATCAAACTCACTAGTCTGCAGCATCCAGAACTTACACTCTTTTCTAATATTAGGAAAATATATGCCTGTCTCCAATATTTTCAATACGGCTTATAATTTTTCAGTAAAAATTGGGTGATTCAGCAGTCTCATTGGTAAATCTCACAGTACTGTGGAATAGTATTAATGTAGAGGTGAGACATTATTTAGAGTTGATAGTTTTTTCATTATATCTTAATTTGCCCTGGGTTTTAGCTTCTTCTCATGAGTGTTTCATCTTTTAATATTAATTTGTGCAACAAACGGAATACGACAAGATATATAAAACTCCTAGCTCCGGAGGACAGACAACTGGGCAATGAGGATTCATGTTTGTTTCTTTTTTAAATTGAGATATAATTGACATTATAACATTTTATTAGTTTCAGGTGTACAATATGATTCAATATTTATCTAAGAGGATTCGTGTTTGAGAGCCACACAGGGAATTTTAGTGGAAGCCAAGGGGTGCCAAAGGACCTATTTCCCCCTTTTTCCCCACCCCAAGCTATTTATTTCTCTGAGATTTACACATAACAGTTTTCATCTTTGCCAGGCATCAGTTTCATTCATTTATCAGCTATCTTGCTTCAAAAAGCCCAAATCCCCAAACATAAAACATTTTCTCAAATATTCAGAAGTTAGGTGATTAGGGTGGAATTTTATTTTTTCTTTTTCCAAATCAACAGATGTTATTTTTAACATTAAGTTTGGTTATGAGAACACAAATGTATACACTAGGCACCATAAAGCAGTGATCAGCGTTTGCATTTTAGGGCAATAATTAACTCTTCAGTCCCCTTACCTTGATAAAAAGTGTTAGGAGTATGGAAATGCAAATGAATTTTTGAGATTACTTCAAAACTTTTGTTCTTTCCCTGCTCAAAGCCTCCTGATGAAGACAGGCCTCCTAAGTCTCATCAACCTCTTTGTGCAAACACAAGTTTTTACAGAAGTTAATGGAGGTGAGTAAGAGCTAAGGATTTGACTTTCTTAACACCTTAATCAATTACCCTGGCCAAATCTCTCACTGTGGGGCTTGTGGCTATCTTTTTAATGCAAGGGGGTGTATTGTGTTGTTTTGATTTTTAAAGGTATTATACAGTTGCTTAAATAAGCAAATAAAAATATTCCCCTAAATGATTGAAATTTGTTAATTTATTTCTTTCTAAAGTTTGTACATTTACATATATCATGTACATATTTTAAATCCTTCGCTATTTTGCATGATTTCTGTTACATAAAAACCACTTAAATCCAATAGATTTTGTTGTTGTAAAACAACAAATTATCCCCAACTTATAAAAACACAGGAACAGTTATATTCATAAACATTTACACAATAGAGAAAAGTACTATATATATGTCACAGTTTCTATACATATCAGGGGACTCACTTGTCTACATGATTTAGGTTTACTTCAACAACAGTGAAATGGGGTAATATTTATATACAACTATTTTAATAAAAATAAAGCAATTGTAAAATGTAAACTTAATTTTCAAAATGTTCTCTAAACACTTTAACAATATCCACATAAATTACTGTTCCATTAAAAAGATGACCACCACAAATGCCATAATTTTCTAGGAGATGGCATTTCTTCAATCTGGTGGGTGATAATGAGGAACAGGTTTCCAGTACATAATTCAGTCCCACTAGCTTACCTAAGTCTGCTAATGCTGACAGTTTGGCCACTGAAAAGGAGTAGGCTGCTATTTTGTCACTAATTACTTTCACAATTTGCAGGGAGATATGGCACCAGGACTGCAATGAAACTGCCATGATTGGTGGAGATTAACTTTGAAGGTAAAGGAATGTTCCACACTGCCAATTAGTTTGAGTCACAGTAAATATAACCCAGTTACTAGGCTGGAAAAGTTAGAAGCTTGTTCTATATTAAAGGATACATAATACCACCCTTCTACCTGTCCTACAGTAATCAAGGCTGACAGTACTGGTTCTCCACTTGTATAAATTTTTGTTCTAGAAATGGGCTCCTAAAACCTGAGGTAGAAGAGAATGCAGGGAGGCATTTAGGCCTTTACCCAACAGCTCTCATCTGAACTGAGCAGAAATGTGAAGCAGTAAGTTTAGTGTTTCTTGACCCTTCCCACAGAACTGAAACATCATCCATTTCCAGAAATCTGGGTGCAAAGGCAAAGATATCATCCATCCCTGGTTAGAGTTCAATGTGACAGCTTGTTTCTTGCAAAGGCAAAATATATGGTCTTGGCTTCAGACAATTTTTAAAACACCTTTGTCATGTGTCACCCCCAGTGACTCAGTCACTCTGAGTTGGTATCTTTCCTCAGCAGGGTCAACCTGTTCCAACAGCTGGGTTCCTAAAGCTGGGGAACTAGCACTGAAATCCAGGATGTGCTTGCTGCTCAGTAGAAGCCCTAGTGGAGTGCAAGGCCAGAAGAGAAGCTCCTCTTTGCAGAGAGAATACATTATCACCCTCTGTAGTGCCCCAGTATTCAGGGGTCAGAACAAGGAGCTCAGACCTACAGTACTGTCCTTAACTAAGCTTTCCGAATAGGACTCTCCTGGGAGTATCTAAAGTCTTATCTAAAGTGTCTAAAGTCTTATCACAGGGAAATGGTAAGTGAAACCTCAAATTTCTCTCCACTAACCAACATTTTCAGGAATTGAAGTGAAGGTGCTTTTTATAACACTATTAGTGAGAGTTTAGCTCTTTACCCTGCAAAGGGAAATATATTTTAGCTAGGTTTCTTTTCATCTCCATCTTCACTGTCATTGCTTAACTGTTCAGCATACTTCAGAGCTTTCTCAACAGTACAGCTCAAAAGGGAGTGTGTACAATTCACATCAATGCTTCTATGGTAAATGCTTTGTTGCTTCTCTACTTATGTTTCTTTCTCAAAGTAATGATCTCCAGGGCAAGCAGCAATGCCACCCTAGAAAACAGTGAACATCAGCCTTCTAGAATGTCCCTATGCTACTGCGGGATGTTGGAGACCTACTGCTTGTGAATTATAACAAAGCCTTCAATTTGTGATATGTACGCCCTCACGTATTTGTTAAAAATCCAATGCTTCTCAAAGTCAGACAGTAGAGCTCAAACTCCTCCCTAGCCCTTAGAAAACATTCCTGTGATGCAGTTTCCACTCCCTTCGTTCATCACCTCTTCTACACTCTGGCCCTTTGTGTTTTAAGTTCCTATAACTTAAAGCATTCCCTATGTGTACATGTGTGCAAGTGTATGTACACATGTGAGAGGCCCAGATGTGTAACACTTACCCCTTACACACCTAAGGGGACAGTAAACTGGTTCTGAATCTCTCAGGAGCAGAGAACTGACCACATGTATGTCTACCTTAAATGGAAGGCAACCAGCTCATACACTTCCCCTACCAAGCCCCCTGACTTCAATTTGGTCTAATTAGTCTCATTCCTATAGCTTAAAAAAGTATCCTAATGGCATTAAAAATCAATGTGCATATATATTCTCTATACAGTGGATATTATTATCCATGCCAAATGGTTACTTGGCTTTATAACCTACATGGCTTTATATTAAAAGTCCAAACATTTCAAATGATTAAGGCCCAAAATGAAACTTTATTTTTGCTACTCCTTTTGTATATACTTTCTGAATCAAATGGATGCTTTTGCAAATCACTGTAATTTTTAGAAAGAAACACACTCTTGCAGAACAAAGACCCTGCTGATCAGTCACAGAGCCAGTTCACTGCACGTCAAGAACAAATTAGGAAATATGATATATTTGCAAAAATAGTTTGAGACTGTAGAATTACTAAAAAACTCCAATGTAACCACCAACACACTACTACAGACTGGAGCCGAAGATTAGTCTCCCACCCCACAACTCCAATTCTCTGAATCAGATACAAAGAATAGGAGACAGTATGTTTAAAAATATACTGCACTCAACCACTCACTCAAACATACTCAGTTGCTGCTTTAAATACACCAAACATGCTGGTTAATATACATTTAATCTCTAATTATCTATTTACACACTGTAAGATAAGCAGTAAGCTCAAACAACTAAGGCCAGTGGCTCTTCTTTGGGGAGAGGCAGGAAGAGACCTAAGTATAAAAATATTAAATAAAGTTTTAGCCTGGTCCATAGTCTGCCCTAAAATTCTTTTACTTGTGACACTAGATGCTAATTTGTAAAACTGCAAACCTAGAATATAGTACCTGATCTTGGGAAGCCCTGATATACTTTAACATTGTAATATTTCTTTAAAGTAAAGAGGGTAAGGAGGTGGTGCTAGAAGAGTGGTTTGATCTACTGTAGAATAGACACAGGCACAAAAATGATATAGTGGGCACTTATTTAATTCTTCTGAAAGCTCTATTTTTCTGGACTAATTACAACAATAAAGAACGTGTGCTTTAAAGCATCACATTTTGTAATAAGCCCAAAATTGTCAGTTTGATTTTATGGTTAAGTGCTCAGAATACTGAAGTTGTTAAGACTGCATAGGATGCCTGTTTTTTTTTTCTTTCTGTATATCTCAAATTATAATGAGCTATCCCTTTAGTATCGTACACAGTACACTGAAATAGTTTCACAAAGTTAGTTCAGAGTCATTTTTGCCCTGGTGATTCAAAGATCAAAGATGGAATTTTCTAACATAAAATCTTATTAAAAATCTAATCAAAATATCATTTTAATTTAAGTTTAATAAAACAGTACCACTATATATACTCTCAATAACTGTATTATATAATCAACCCTATGAGGTTTTTACTTGCTTTTCATATCACACTGGTTATTAAAGATAAAAATAAATTTGATATACATATACCATATACTGATATACAGTCTACACATTGATACATATACACATACATACATACAACTATAAATACCCACAATACAACATTGGCAAGTGACAGAAAGCATTTTCTTTGATGTCTGACATACTATCTATATGAATATTCTCCAAAAGCCTGCAACACCACAAATACACACATAAATTACAAAGAATGAGCCACGGAGATTGAAGGAAACTGTATATACAATTACTTAACTTGCAATATTTTCTTGCTGTTGCATTCAAGTCAACAAACTATCATGCAGATTCAAGTATTTACTGACATTCTCTCTATGAAGATATTCTCTTTGCATGCAATGGGTGTTATTGTCCTAAGCAGAATGCTGCCCACTTGGGTTTTGGATACTATAGGTACAAAAGGAGAATGGCAATGGCTTTGGACTTTAGATCCCCTTTTAACAGTGAGACACTGAAAAGGAATCTGAGAGGAGAAGCAATGACAAAGCACCTCCCTATCACTTGTTGGAATTATTTTGTGGTGAACTACTGACTTGTAAAGTCCTCTATGTGACTTGATAGTGTAAGATGTCAAAAGGCTGATGGAGATCTGTTGACCCGAGGCCGACTAGTGGCCTGACCTGGCCTGGGAGAAGAGACGGCCAGAAAGCTTTGCAGCAAGGTAGACCCAGAGACTCATCTGCCTACAAAGCTGATTGATCTTTTTTTGTCAGAGTAACTTAGATGCTGAGAAAAGCAGATGCTATTTAAACCCAAACTCACACTATTATTCATTAACTAAACTCTACTTTTAATAAGTCCTAAGATGCCACTTTGGTTCTTTGTTTAACAGTGTTAATGTTACAATCGGAAAAAACTGTCATTTGAAAAGTGAAGAGATTGTTCGCTGCTGAAATTAAGGAAGGTAGCTACCAACGTGCTGAAAACTTGACCAGGTCCATGAGCTAAGGTACAGAAATTTGGACCTACAAGGCTCTGAAACTCCCTGTGAATTCTGGCTTAAAAAAGACTAACTGATGACTACAAGGAAAGATGCCAAAGGAATTCAAAATCCAATGACAACTAACTATACTCAAGAAAGTCTTGCTAGTAAGACAATAGAGAAACTTCTAAAAGGTCAAGTTTCTTCCCATTGTCTACAATTAGGGATAAAGGCAGAGAAGAGTTAAAGCTCATACCAAATCAGGCCCTGCCTTACCTAAGAACAGCTTTTCAAGCTCTTTATATCAGAAGGAGTAGCAGGCCAGGGCCAGCAGAAAATGCTCCTTCACTGCTGGTTATATAAATTCTTCTGCAGCCTCAGAAGTTCTGTGGTTTGGCCACAGGGTGATATACAAACTCAAGAGCCCACCTCTAGCTTGGCCTTGGAAAGCCAGCCAATTTTGCTCTTCCAGAATTAAGTCCCTCATGTCACTCCTGACTAGGACACAGTCCTCATCTTCTGAATTAGGATAACAGAGAAGCCTAGAGGGTCTTGCACAGTTGCTTTCTACCTTCTTTAACTAAGATCGATAGGCACTACAGTTCCACCACAGGACTCTCCTACACATTGGTTTTACTTATGATTAATTAAAATACATGGAAGTATTGCTTGGTTTAATTAGGCATTGCTAAGAGTTACCAAAATGTTTCTAAAAAGCGCACTTCAAACAATGGCTATAGCCTGGCAATAAAATGAGGACTCTGCATGCTAGTAGTTAAGTCTGATTGCTAACAATGGATTTCTGACACCTCTTGTAAAAGTCAACATGCGAGGTGGGGGAACAAACCCCGAAAACACTTAAAGATTTTATACATGGGCCACTTCTATGGTCAATTTTGCAATAAGACTATCACCAAGGTGTTTTGATGGCTATAAAGATTTTCTGTACAAAAAATAATACTAAGTGTATTTATGTGAAGGAGAATAATGATTTATCACATGGAGAGAAATCCCAAGGCTCCTGGTGCTGAGGTATGGTGAGGAGTGGGGATGGGAAAAGCGGGAGTACCTTCAGAAGGAAAGGAGGAGGAGAGGCCCCCTGTACTGTGAACTAGGCAGCATGCTTGGAATAGCTGTGAAAGGAAATGTCTTCAATTTCTTCTGACTAGATACCACAGGAAAGAAATTATCACGAAGGAAAATGTGGTTGGCTATGGGAAGACTCCGAATCTAGTCAAATCCGGGGCCGTTTCCTCCTATTGGAAACACTCTTGGCCTGCTAGATGCACTGACAATAGATAGGGCAGAGGTATTCTCAACCCATCCCCTGCAGATGGGCAACATCATGCCAGGGCAATCTGGGATCCTGACTGACAGAAAAACCTTTTGCGGTTGTTTTTAAAGAGAAACTATGCAAACATAGTATACAGCAGCTTCAAAGTGTCCTTCTCATCCATTTATCTATCTATTAGCATATACAGAAGTTCCTGTAGCTAACATTAGAGAATCATATAATAGGAATAATGCTGTAGTGGTGCTGATGCTAACTAAGCATTTCAGAACTACTCTAAATGTCAGAAACACTGCAGCAAGGTACCATTTCATGTCTATTATATACTGTAAGTAAAATACACAGAGACATTCTATATACACAGACACAGTCACACTGTGGACAAACACATTCAAGCCAATCAGGGATGTTTATTTTTCTTTAGTTACTGAAGCTCAGAAATGATATAGTCTAGGTATTTCTCTCTGCTTGGTATGAATATCTAGGCAGAAAACAAACAGGCTAATTGTTCAGATTTGAGGAAGAAAGATGATTCCCTCATGGAAATCTTGGATTTGGTCAGAAGCTACAAAAATGAATCAGGTACACAGGGCCATATTGGTAACTACCCTGTTTGTTTTATGGTTTTGGAACATAAATTTAGTCATTGCCTTTATGTAAACACAACAGGGTTAGAGTGAATTCTTCAAAGGTGTGGCAAAATACTTATCACAAAGCAAGCAGCTACAACCATAGCGTGGGGTTTCTCTTTTCTGGGCACTAGCAAATATGGGCATTTATATAGGTAAAGGAAATAAATGTTAATAAATAATCTTGTGATTAAATGCTGGTACATCAGAACAATATGCCACCAGAAACCACCATGGTTTAATAGCAGGTTTTCTCTAATTCACCAGAACCATGATATTCATGCAGAGTCCCTGATTCTTTGGTCATAGTACCTTTAACTAATAACTAGAGCAAATATGTATGGGAGGGAAAAAGAGTATTCAAAGTGATTCCATTAGTTCTGAAATCATGGAGAGTATAGCTTTCAGGATCACAAAGTTTCAAGATTTCAAAATCAAAGTTCTAACTCATAGAGGGCTCATTTTTCACTTTTTCTTCCTCTACAAGAGAATGTGCTGTTTATCATCCTAAATTGCAAAGGGACCATCACTGGAACAAACTCATTACTGTAAGGTTAACAGAACTATTTTGAATAGGTAGAAAATAATGATTTAAAATAAAGTACTTATTTTTAGGAGAAAGTTCAGTAGTAGCAGAGTGAATTGGCTATCAAAAAGACTGAGATCAGAATAAAATAAGTAACCTTGCATCTGCAACCAGTAGATTCCTGTTTTCCAACCACAATTCATTCAATTTATTACTTTCAGATTTATTTTAAAGAATCATTGCATTGCTGAACCGCAGCTTTTTCCTGTCTTACTTTGTTTTGATTTAAAAAAGAACAGAAGAGGTTCCATTTTCAACATTATTTTGTTAGGAAGACCCCAATATTTTACAAACAGGAGATAACAAAATGTCTGAAATAACCTAATTCCTGAATGGCAGGGTATTGATGATAGAGATGATTCTGGATTCCTAGTCTAGACCCTGGGAGTGAGGTAACAATTTCCTGCACACCGACCACATGCCTACTGCTACAGCTTCTCAAGAGTCGATTATTGCCACTGCCCTTTACGAAACAAAATAAACTTGGTGTTGTCTTTCCACAACCTTCAATGGCAAAAGATTCCACTTCCTCTTTCCTTCTTTGGCTGAAATGAAATCAACACTTCAAGGAAGCTAATGCACTTCTTAAGTTCTCCAGTCCTCCGATCTTCACACCTCCTATCCCTGCTTCCAGCAGGGTCAGAACTCAACAGTAAGTGCAAAGATGTATGCACACCTGCATCACAGTAGAACATCTTGATTCCCAGAATTGTTATTCTTAACTGAATTTCTGTGAGTGCTCAATTTCACCTCTGTGACTGAGCAAGATTTCACATATAAAGGCTTGTATTAACTCTGGCTAGAATTTGCTAAACTACCAAGTTTGTCCAGTTAAATGTTTCACAATGAATTAAATTTTTTAACCTTAAAAAAGTGTAACAGCTGATTTGAGAATACATAAAACAACTGAGAAGAGGGCAAACAAGAAAAAAAAAACAAAGGAAAAGTGACACGCAATTCATTCTGAAATCACAATCCTTTCCCCCTCACGAAAAAGGTGCATTAGTCATCAAGTAGCAAAAAAATCATCAAAGCAAAGAAATTAAGAGCAAAGAGACAATCAGTACAGAAACTAACAAAACTATACAATAGAAAAGGTTACTAATGCACCATTTAGTCACAGACTGTTTAAAAATATATTCACGGGTTTACCAGAAAGATCTTGAAAAACTCTATTTTGCTCCATGACCAGTACTTCCTGGTCACAGATGGATTCTAAGTGACTTTTTGCTTAATGCTTGGTGTTTCAGGTCGGTGATCTTTCCTCTCTGACACATTACGCTTGACCTTGGCTGTTACTGGGGATGAATCCGGGTTCAATGAAGGACTTGAATGTGACTTCTTCAGTCCTGCAGCCTCACTTTCATTGTTACTCAGGAGCTCCTTGCCTCCTTCTTTTAGAATGCTGACATAAGTTTCATAACGGGTTTTCTGGAGGGAAAGTCAGAGAAGAATGGTAGTCAGTACACTGTTCACAAATGCATGGAAAAATCATGCTTCCTCAACATCCAGGGACAAGAATGGTAGAAGCTGGAGGAGCTATAACCTCTGATTGTGGGCAGTCAGATGGCTCCTATGGTACAGTCACTTGAGCATCCCTCACATGACTACTTGAACCTCGCTTGGATATGGTTGTTTACTCTCTTTCCTACTCCCTGTAATTCTACAAAGACTTAACTTGAGGAATCAGTCTATGGTGACTCTACTCTCCAGTCCCCTACAAGACCACAACACTTTCTAGAAGCTGCTCTGGGTTTCCCACCATTGCTTTTCTGTTAGGATTACCAATTTCTCAGAGTACTATAGCTTCTCATAAAACTTCAAATTATATTCCGATGTTTTTCTCATACTACAAAATTTTTTTCTTCATCAACTATTTCCTGAGTATCTCTTATGTTTTAAACAGGTCCTTGATTCTCCTACCTCTGTGTATCTTTGTCTAAAAATAACTGAAAAGAACACTGCAGAGATTTTTTTCCCCCCTAACCCTAATTGGTGCTTTTTTTGGTTTGTTTTTATCTGGGTCACTACAGAATGTATGTATATATATCTTGCAAATTACAGATGGGTCTCAGATTCTTGATTTGATAGATTCTAGTCAAAATAAGCCTTTCACCATACTGCTTTGACACAGGAAGCATTTATAAAAAGCCTAAAGTGTTTTATTTTTAAACAAAATGACATGTCAGTTATAAATTATCCCAACAAAGGCAGGCAAATTCTGTTATGACTTTTACGGGTTTTCCTAGTTAGATTGAAATTTTGTATATCTTAGTTTCAAGTTAAGAATTATGATGTTGAAGCTATTGGAAGTTACTCTTTCAGGATGTTTTGTTCAAAAGTGGGAAAAAGCTGCTAGTAATTAAGCTTGCTCTGGGTTTGGTCAGTATCTATGTGGGGATGTCAAGCTTTGCTTGATGATGATAATGACATTTATATGGAGTGCTCATATGCTAACTTCAGGTCATTAATACAATAATCATGTACATAATCAGTAAATTATTATCCCTGTTTTACAGTAAAGGAGATAGAGGCAGAGAGAAATCCAAAGTCAGAGTTTGCAAAGAAGATGGGATTTAAACTCAGGAAATCTGACTCCAGAACCCACTGTCTTAAGATATATTTCCTCAAATTCTTAATCGCAGGAAACAAACTGAGTGTTGTTGGAGTGGGGGGTGGGGTGGGAGGGATGGGGGGACTGGGTGATGGACACTGGGGAGGGTATGTGCTCTGGTAAGCGCTGTGAATTGTGCAAGACTGTTGAATCTCAGATCTGTACCTCTGAAACAAATAATGCAATATATGTTAAGAAAAAAAAAAAAGAAGAAGAAGAAGAAGGTAGCGGGAGGGGAAGAATGAAGCGGGGGAAATCGGAGGGGTAGACGAACCATGAGAGACGATGGACTCTGAAAAACAAACAGGGTTTTAGAGGGGAGGGGGGTGGGAAGATGGGTTAGCCTGGTGGCGGGTATTGAGGAGGGCACATTCTGCATGGAGCACTGGGTGTTGTGCACAAACAATGAATCATGGAACACTTCATCTAAAACTAATGTTGTAATGTATGGGGATTAACATAAGAATAAAAAAAAAAAAGTAAAAAAAAAAAAAAAAAGAATCCCTAGAGATCTCTTCATGCCACTCACTGAAAAGTAGACTAGTAACTACATAGGAAGGTCGGAAGATTTCAAGCTACAGCTGTAATGTAGGTCTCATTTTCAGACAACTGGATGCAACTGCATAAATGTCCATCATTTAGGCCCTATTGATCCAATATTTTAGGGAGTATTTTTTTTTCTTTAAAAGTAGGCTGAAATATACTTTTAAAATACAATGAAAGGTCTAGCATCTAACAATGATTTGACATTTAAAAATGGTACCTTAGAAATGAAATGAAATAATTTAATCAACTCCTTACTCAACCTGACACTAAAGCTCAAAATCTAAATCAAAGTCAGAGCTTCCTGACAATACTGTTCAAGAAAACCATCACTGACTGGAAGGCTGACTGAAACTTAAGGAGAATCTATTTTAATAGGGATAATCAGTTCAAGAAAAGAACAAGAGTAGCAAATCTGTTTTGTCTTGTGAATCTACATTGCTCTACCTGCCTCAGGGAAAGTAAAGGTGCAGATGTCTACTTTTTATGACAAAATTAATGTATCAAATAAATCAAATTTGCTGAAAAAAAAAAGATATATTTCCTCACTGGATATGAAAATATGTATATGTATATTTTAGGATGACCACTCTGACAGACGCTGTTGGTTTAGCCAATTAAAAGGCATTCTCAATCCCTCCTATTCCTGTGTTCCTCCCACTACAAAGGTTCCTCCCACCGTAAAACGTGAATACCTCCCCAGCCTCTCTTGTAGCTAAGATGGGTCAGGTGATAGTCTTGCCAATAAGCTGTAAGGAGAAAGCTATTGGGGAGCTTCTGAGAAAGTGCTTTTGCTTTCTGATAAAGGGGCTGGGCTTTAGAGGAGAAATTACTGGCACAAGCTGCCTTTCACTTTTATTTCTTCCTTGACATGGATATGATTGCCTAAACTGCACGCCAAGACATAGGGCAGTAGGCAGAAAGATAGAAGGACCCGATACTAGCTTGAGGAAAAAAGGGAAAGACAGAAAGAACGTGGGTTCTTGATGATACAATGAGCTGGATCCAACTCTAAGACTCCCTACTATCTCTGAATATCTTGTTAGTATGAATAATAAATATTCTTAGAGTGTAAGCCACTCTTCATTAGGCATTGTCAAATGCAGCTGAAAGAATTACTAACTGATATACATTCCAAGTTTAATAAAGTAACAAAATAAAAGAATGAAATACTAAGCTTATCTCAGAAAGTTACAAAAGGGCTTAATAAGGGCATTTGCTAATAAAAAATGTCATGTTATCAATATTACACATTAGTCAATGCATCAGTGAAATCAGGGCACTGAACTAGACAATATCCAAAGGGCATACTAGTTCTAAAGTCCTATTCATTCTAAAAATTTACTATTTTAATCTGTCTCTAAACTGCCTCGGTGGCAAGATTAAAGTACAGGAAGAACTACTCCCAATATGAACAACCTTTAGTAAAATGATCCAAAGACAGTTTAAAAATAGATTCAGAAAGCCAGTAGAAGGCATACTATTTCATGAAGCTGGGGCATTTATACAATAAAAGGGGTACGAAAGACAAATTTTTGAGATGACTTGAAAGGGGACAGAATGAAGGTGATAGGGCCAATTTTCTACTAGTCTTTGAAGAAAATGATACTACTGGGAAAATTCATCTGAAAAATACCATTTCAAATACTCATTCTACAGCTTTAGCTGTAAAGCTATTGTCTCAAATAAATTACATCAGTGTGTCAGTCAACAAACAAAAGGAATAGCACTGAAGAGTGGAAGCACATGAGTTATCAGATTAAAAGAAAAGACAAAGCAAAGCAAAGAATGAAAGGGGACCAGAAAATGAAGTGTTCAGTTGTTGTTAAGGGAAATAAGGAAAAGGAAACCGATGGGTGGTTTATAAACTTCCAAATGGCTGTACTCTGTTTCTGTGTTAAAAAGGTTTACAGGGACAGAGGCTACTAAACCCAGTGATGCAACTTTGCTTTTCAGCCTTCTCTAAAATCAAACTAAATGCACCTTCAAAGTATTTTAGGATATCTTTACTCTTAGAATATAGTGGGTATTGGTTTCAGCCATATTCTTCTGAGATTATAGATTCATCTAAATATATAAATCATCTCTATCTTTGAGGCTTAGGGCTAAGAAAAAAGATGGTCTCTGAGTAAAGAGAAACAGCTCTGAGTGAAGCCCTGAAGAGCAATGGAAATGAACGTAACTTTAAAAAGTCTCTTCTTGGGGCATCTGGGTGGCTCAGCTGATTAAGTGTCTGCCTTTGGCTCAGGTCATGAGCCCAGGGTCCTGGGATCCAGCCCCATATTGGGCTCCCTGCTCAGGGGGGAGCCTCCTTCACCCTCTGCCATTCCCCCAGCTTCTGCTCTCTGGCTCTCCCTATCTCTCTGTCAAATAACTAAATAAAATCTTAAAAAAAAAAATCTCTTCTTCAGGGAAGGAAAAATAAGATAAAAACAGAGAGGGAGGAAACCGTAAGAGACTCTTCTGTCTTTTTAAATATTTGTTTATTTGAGAGAGAAAGAGAGAGTGGGGGAAGGGGCAAAGGAGAGAGAATCCTGAAGCAGTCTCTCCACTGAGTGCGGAGCCTGATGTGGGGCTTGATCCCAGGACTCTGAGATCGTGACCTGAGCTGAAATCAAGAGTCAGCTGCTTAACTGACTGAGCCACACAGGCACCCCAAAGACTCTTAATTATAGGGAACAAACTGAAGGTTGCTGGAGGGGAGGTGGGTGGGTGGGGGGAGTGGGGTGATGGGCATTAAGGAAGTCACTTGATGTAATGAGCACTGGGTGTTATATGCAACTGATGAATCACTAAATTCTACTCCTGAAACTAATAATACACTATATGTTAACTAAATTGAATTTAAATAAAAAAATTTTAAAAAGTCTCTTCTTCATTGATACCTCCTTTTACTCTCCTTTTTTTGGGGTGAGAAAACCATACTTCTTTCTAACTATGCAACCATGTGGTATCTTTGGAAGGGTTTATTTCCTTTCTTTCTTTTAGAGAAGACATGATTATTATCTCTTTTTCTAAAACCAACTGTGAAATTTAAGTTTGAAGTAAAGCTGGGGGAGAAAGGAAGATGGAGGAATAGGAATATTCTGAGCTCACCCCCTCTCAAAAAACACACAAAGGTACAAATACATGTAGTGCAACTCTGAGAAAGATCTAAAAACCAACAGAACTCTTCACAGCTTAAGATAGGAAGAAAAAGCCACACAGAGAAGGGCAGGAAGGGCAGAGATATGGTCAGAACTAAACCCCTAACAGTGACCCACAAGTGGCAGGA